TATATAGAAAAAAATTGTAATTAGAACTTCATAGCGTTAGGTTTTTCTTTGAAGGTTTAAGAAAAATCAAAGTTTTTAGAAATCTCGGAAGAGATTTCTTTACGTTTTTAGATAAAATTCACGTTGTCCGCCTGATTTTAACCATGGTTATACCCATTACGCCTGAACTACATGAGATATTAATTTTAAATTTTACTGTAAATTATTTATGGTATGCTTAATAAATGCTGAAAAGATACTAAGCTAAACATCCGACTCAATTCAGCGAAAATGTATTTCTTATGCAAAACTGCTGTTCAAATTTTTTTATTATATCAAACAAAAGAAATTTATATTCTCTTGTTTTCTATTACAGCAAACATTATATATTCGAATTTGTTTCTAAAAAGATTGAGAAGTATTTTCATATACTGTATAGCTTGTATAGTATCCTTCATTAAGTAAAAATTTGATAATAGCAGAGAAGAAAAAATTTGATTAGACATCAAGAAAAGCTCATCGTAACTATTTTGGAGTATTAGTGGTATAGTAGACTTTTGGCAAGTAATGACGTTTTTGCATGTCAAAAAATGGATGAAAGGAATAGAATATACACGCACATAGATCGAAAGATGTATGTAATGAGAATTCTATATATGTATAAAACCATCCTCAACTTCTTTGTATGTATCTAGTAGTTGCTTATTAGAATAGAAAAAAAAGGCGAAACGACACACATAGTCTACATAACGAGAGAAAAACTTGAGCTTTCTAATATTTCTTTTTCCTTCTACAGAAATTATTTCTGAAAAAGAGGCAACAATACAAAATATTCTTTTTCTCTGTTTGTTCTATCTCGCATATAGTCTAAAAGTTTACATAGTTTGGATCACTATATGTCTTTAGAAGAGAAAATTGCGTATGTAGCTTTTACTATAAAACATCTATCTACTTGCTTTGAAAGAAAAAAGGACGAAAAAGAAAAAAAATTCTGGAAAAAAACGTCGACAAAGCTAAAATAATAATAAGACGCATTCATTACATCATTAATCAGTCAATCATTCTACTCTTGTTACTACAGACACACACACGTTTTTCTCACATGCATTTATCCAAGAATGAACTAAAATGGAAAAAATAAAGTAGGTGAATTAACAGGTTCTTTTGTTTTAAAACATTTAGTCTAGTTGCGATTGTGTGGTAAGTAAACCACATTTCAGAAGAATGCGTGTATCGGTTGGTATAGCTCATTTTTGTAGTGAGAAATGAATGAAAAAATTCCATAGGCTGGCTTAAACTAGTTAAAAGACTACAATTATTTTATCATCGTCAGTTTGCTACAAAATTCTGAAAATTTCAAGTGATATTAACACTACCTGCTCTGTAAAAATAAAGATTTGTGTACAAAATCTAAAAGGGTATAGAGAAGTGAAACCATTTCTGAACCTTTTAGGTTCTGAAAAAGTAGATCATTTCAGCAGCTTAGGCGTGCTTTCACAGTATTAGGCGGTGGAAACTGAGCCCGAAAAATACTTGAAACTACTTTAATTTTTGTTTTATCGCGAGAAACTCATGAGGAAAAAACATAACGGAATATCGTTTTAATGCACTTAAAACGGTTTCTTATCGTACCTTTTCTTCTACGAAATCCAAAAGGGTTTAGAAATGGTTGCAGTTCTCTATACCCTTTCGTACATAAATCTGTTTTTTTAGAGAGTGGTAAAGTTAGAGCAGTTTAGTACACACGATACTAAAATATCAAAAACCGAAAAGAATTGTAGAACTAGTTTGAGTCAGGACTTCTGTGTTAAAAATAGCCATGATTGTTTTTTTAAAGTAGTCAACACAGATATTGAGTAAACGTAAAAGAGTACCTAAAATGCTCAAAAATGAAATTTTGTTCAGACTGTATCTATTTAAAAGAGCATTCAGAGTTATTGAATAAATTCAAATTTTTGACTATTCGTACTTTAAAATAGTTGAACTGTGAGTTTTTACTAAAAGTTATCGAAAAAGATTTGTCATAAATCCATTTTTATTTTCTGTATTATTATCTTTTCTTTATTTTGAATTTCTAAATCATATAGCAGTTGAAAGAGCAAAATTCGTAAATAAAACAATGATTTCACATGTTAGGATCAGATCTGAGTATCGAACATATTTGAATTATTGAAGTTTTCTGAATTGATTACATTGAATAGTTAGAACATCATAAAATCTGTAATACCAATATAAAAACTTAACGCCAATTTGTCCAGCAGACGATTCTCTACAATATGAAGAGGCTTCTCGCTGTATTCCACTGTAAATAGAAAAGGCTACTATAAATTTCAATTAAAATTAAGTTTCCGCTTGATGAACACTTTCGTAAGACTAAGTAGGAAAATGGGGCTTCTATGAGGAAAAACGTTACTTTAAAAATATAGAATGTAGCACTACTACTCTCCCGCCTGATATATTTGAGGCATACCAAAGTTGGGAAAATTTTTTTCAGAGCTAATATATAAATTTGTTATCAACTTCACCTTCTTTGTCGAAATAGAACTGCCATCCGAGTATTACCTGGTCAGCACTAGAATATATTCTAGTATTTTGTCTACAACATGTGGCTATTTGATTGTAAAATGTTGATGAAACTTTAGATTAAAGTACCCGTTTTTTCTTTTATATGACTGATTTTGACAAGCGTGTTTTGTACACAGTCTGTACCAATTAGTAAAAATTACTTCCTCAATACATGCAGCTGTTTTCGATTACTTGTGCTGCACTATTCATTCATTCTACTTTGACACATCGTAAAAGATTGGGTATAAAGAAATTTGAATAAGAAATAGTGAGAGACACTCAATCAAATTCATTATACTATATCATTTTAGAAAATTCTTGTCAGAAGAGCCACGATTCAAGATAAATATACAAAGCGTCTTGTAATAAGTATCAAACGTAATTACCACTGGGAATTTCTCTTATTCATACAAATAAGTATAGAAAACCGGACCATAGTTTTTTAACTCATTTTAAAAAATCAATTTGTGTTGTATTTACTTGTATAAAATTATCGCGTATATAACTTTCAGTCTTTGTACAGGGAAGATCGCTGATACATAAATTAATGTTTTTCAATACATGTTCACTCCCCCTAGACCTTGGCTGATATATTCCACTTTGTTTCATCTTCATATACACACATAATTAACTACGCACGATGCCTTTTTTTTAAAAAAAAAGAAATTACATTGTAATTGTAGATATAGACAGAGAGGAGTGTAAGAAGTTAAAGGTCATATTTCTATATACACACTTATGTAAGAAAGAGAAGGTATCGAAATCATACAGTAAAAGTATACACGCACACAATTTATCTGTCGAGGTGTTATGATGATGCTACTAAAGAAAAATATGACTTGCATTCAACAATACATCAGAACAACAACAAAAAGTACTAATCTGACAATTGAACCGATTGATTGAACACATGCATACAGAGAGCTCGTTTCTATATACACAAAGTTTATTGTAAGTTTAATCTTTTCTGTGTATTAATATCATATATTCATCGACGCGCATCATTGTATACGTCCCAAGCAATTTTCATAGGCAGACAATTTTAGTTCTAGCACCATGTTTAAAACAAAAGTACGTTTTTGTTTAAGATTATTATATTCTTTCTCAGACCTTCAAGGATGTTTAATTTATAGACATCTGCAGGCAAGAAAATATTTTTTACACTGTATTGCTCTTTGAGGTTAAGTTCTTAATTGATTAGTTTTACTCTTTCTTTCTTCTATATGGACATTGATGTTTTCCCCTCTTACTATGCTCGGAAAAGAATAAAAAATTCTTTCTAGATAATCGTATACATTCTTGCTATAGTTTTAATTATATTATGATAACTTATAAGAATTACTATCACACATCATAACAACGTAATAAACGAAGGAGAAAGTCTGTCTCTATTTAATAAAGATAATCAACAACTTGTATAACGTTAGTTAGTAATAATGTTCTCATGTGGAAAAAAAGACATTTTGTGATTAATGCGATTCCATTTCAAATATCTGTCATTATAACGCGTATGAACGTATTGCCCCTTAAAAAACAGTACAAAAATAGTTTCACTTTATTCTTAGTGGTTTTAGAACCAACAAATTAACTAATGGTTAATAGGTTAGATTACTTCTTGTTCGAACTTTGTAACTTTTTACAAGAACAAAAATAGTCTCATCAATATTGAGCGGAAACAGGCAGTAATAAGTATGATTGTTTTCTTCTTATTTTGTTTTTGAAAAAAGTTCCGATTACTAGTTAATGGAAAAAACAGTTCTTCTAGTGAAGTTCAAATATTCCGTTTTCCAAGGAAATGCAATAAAATGAACGACATATTTAGCTTAGAAAAATATGATTTTTTTTCTCTTCTCATGACAGTCTTTCTTGTGAGTTTTAGACTGCGTGGATGGAAAGAATAAATATTTCTTCTTTTTTTTTTTTTTTGCTTTTCGAACCGTAGTGGGCTTTATCGTTTATGTTCAAGGGAGAAGAATACATACACTGAACAGATTACTATTCAATTTTTTTTTCTTCTTTTCACTCTCACTGTATAATTAAGATTCAATGTAACATCACTTCGTCGGAATAGATTAAAATGAAAAAAAATGTTTTCGTTAAAACATCTTCGCATCGACAAATGTGTGTAACATATCATTAGACTATATGGCGATGTTTACACTCTAATTTATTATCTGAATGAGATAAGGACTGTCACTAAATGAAAATAAAAAATTAGAGTGTGCATATGGTTGGCAGATGAACCAAAGAATTATATTTAGCACTATTGTTGAACCAATTCAAATTCTTAGCAGATATTTTAATAATGTATTTTACTAGTGAGAAAAATGAAAGTTGAACTAATCTGTATCATAAATTATTCTTCGATTTTTAAATGATTATATTAAATATTATCTGAATATATATTTTTTTATTTTGTAATTCTAGAGTATTATCAATAATAACACATTGTCAATATGCTCAAAAACAACGTCAAATTAGAATATGATACAACGTTGGCATCCCAATTATTAGATAGTATTGATGCTCATTTAAACGAGTCTAATAATCATTCATTATCGTTATTATTACATCGAAATAATAATAATATTCAAATGGAACATGTCATGTCTGTTGATCGTTCAGATGACAGCGATAATTCAAGTTCAAAAATTGAATTGGACGATGATGATAATGGTGAACTTTGGTTAAGTGGTCATCGTAGCATATTTTCATCATATGGAGATCATATTGAAGTGCGAAAAACGCCTATTGTTCGTGAACGACCTGCTAAATATTTGACCGACAGTTTATTACAACAATTACCGTCAAAGAATGGAGGAGTGTCAAACAGTGTCTACGAAGGATTTCATTGGGATTTGTATGATGCTGAACACATGTATCATTTAGCATTTGATCAACAACGAATAACGCCAGATGAGGTGAATAGTAATGGAGACAGTGATAATAGTAAAACTGGTCAAAGTCAAAGTCTAAGTGATTGGTCAATGAGACTGAGTTCAACGCATCATACTCATGATACTGGAGAAGATACTGGGGATGAAGCATCGTCATCATCGATCACGGGAATTACTCAGAAAATAATACCAGATAATAGCACAACACGAACATCATGGCATCAAATGAAAGAAAGAAGTACGAGGAAAAATAAATCATCGATAAACAGTTCAACAACAACTGATGATGATGAAAAACGTGAGAATAGTCCACTGACACTTTATCGACTATTTCAACGTACAAGATCTCAGCAACCTCATAAACTTTATCAAAATTTTAGTGATAAAAGTGTATGTGATTCATTATCATCCACAGCATCGTCAATTCAACATCCAACAGTATTTCCATGTGTAAAACTTTCTAGTCCGACAACGTTTTCAAAATTAAAATTAAACGGAACAGTTGATAATGGCAATATATTATCATCTTTGGCAGTATCTAATGATATTGCATTAACAAAGAATAAAAAGTCATCACTAGAATCAAATAAGCGAAAGTCAACAAGTGGTAAGTGATATCTGCTATTTGCTGAATCTATGAAGCATAAAGAGGCTCCTTTTAGGAGTCAACGAAACTTCATGCTAGAATATTATTTTTATTGTCTCAATTCTAGAAAAAATAGCGTGTGATCAATCAACTCAATTTCCTCTGTACAGAAATGATCAATCAATCCAAACATCATTGAACAACGATTCTAAAACATACTTTATGCACTATTGTCGTACGAATAAATGTTCGCAAACCGAACGAAATCAATCACTACATACAAATAGATATTCCCTACCAACTAATCTTTGTTATGGCAATGATGGACATCTTCAATCAAAATTATTACTTTTATCTCGTTCAAAAAGTTTACCAAAATTTGCTGTTGATAACACAAAATTTTCTAGTCAAAATCATCAATTTTTACCCAAAAATGTTAAATCATTACCAAATCTTGATTTTTTGAATACTTATGACTCGACAACATTTAATCAAATAAGATCATCGTCATCAAATGAATGTATAAAAAAGACGATAAATAATTATGATGATCTTAATTCTAAAAAGACAAAAACAGTATTCTATTGTATTAATACGAACAGTAATCGCTCAATACCGTTTCATTCACAATTTTATCATAAACCACGAACACTAAAAGAAATAAAACGAATTAAAAATGTAAAAACCGTATATCAAAAACTCACTAGTCCAACAGCAACATTACCGTCACCAAGTTTTACATCACCATTAAGTCCAATTATTAACAAGTGTGAAGAAGAAGAAGAAGCTTCGTTAAGTGGATATTCTCAACAGTCGACAAGCAGCAATAATAGTACATCAAGTAGTGGATATTTTAGTAATGCTGAACGTCAACAACAACAGCAACCGATAACTACCACTGCACCCACAACAATAGCAAAAGAATTTCATACACCACATTTAAAATCATGTTTGAAACGAGCAAAAACTGAAGATCTAACAGTAGCATTAACACCAATAATTGCCTGTGGGGGATCAGATGTATTGGCTGGTGGTGTCGCAGGAGATATATTTACATTGGCTGCTATATCACGTATTGGATGGAAAAATACAACAACAAACACAAATTTAAGTCGTCAACGTCGCTATTCAGCACCCACTTATTCATCACTGACTAATTTATCAAATCAAATAAACGTACAATTGCGTACAAGAAGAAATGGGACATTATCCGAACACGATCTTCGAACGAAAAAAAGTGTGAGCTTCTGTGAAAACATAATCAAAAGAGTAATTACACCTTCAGCTAGTCCAAAACATCGGCCATTAATGACAGTAACAAATCATTCCATAACTAAAAAATATACGAACGGTAAAAAGAATTTGATATGATAAGTGTTCATTAGTTAGTTTTAAAGTGTTTTTAGATACATATGAAATCGATTTGCTTCCAGCCGAAAGTTTTACCGACAGTCCACCAAGTGAATTTAATTTGTCGGCTGAGGAGGAAGATGAAACACAAAAACCAATGAACTATATCGAATCGAAAACAAATATACTCCAGAACAACACTACAAATGTAACAAGAGCAAAGAAAAATTCAAAATCTTCTATCGACATAGGTTTGTACATTCTAAATGCATTATTTTAAATACTTATTTATGTTTTTTGACTAAATCGTTTTAGCTCTTGTCAAAGCGTTTGCTAATACTGTTCTTCGTATACTTGAGATCAAATGTGGTGATCAGGTAAGTTTTTCTCATTTCGGTTTAATGACATTGTATCTCAAGTTTTCTTTTTGCTTCTTTTACAGTCATATTACTTGAATAACAATAGTAATCAAGATCTTGATCGAACATTGCGAAATGAATTTTGTCCACAACTTCGTGAAGTGTTAGAAGACGGTTTAAAACAGCATGCTGGCTCATTATTTTCCAAAAAGATAACATTATGGCGGATTATTGATTTGGCCACACCACAAACTCCACAAACACGACCCTATTATGAAGCGAAAATCAAAGCACAATATCTTCAAGGTAGTTCAATAGATTGGACAGATAAATTCAATGCATTCATATTTAGTCTATTAAAGTAAGCTATAATTTCATTGAATATGTCATTGGAGCTACTATTCGATCTGTTTTAGTTTTCATGAATTAACGAACTGGCTGAATCATTTTATCCAACAGCATGAATTACTCATGACTTATTATGAATCGTCGGCATTCGTTCTCGTTTATAACGAGAACAATGACATATTTGAATGCTTGACAAATCAATTAGAAAAACTATCTCCATTACCATTTCGTTTAAAATATTCGATTTTAAATCCTCACGTATTAACGCATTATTCACCAACATCCTCGACATCTTCATCATCCACAAACACAACAAATGATAAAATTCATCGATCTGCACAACAAAAACATAATCCTACTACTATTCCTACTACTAAAACTCATATACAATCACCATCTGTGCCTCTCACACGTCCTACATCATTGTTACCGAAGCGTTTCAATGTTCGGGCGTGGCTTAGAGATCGAAAAAATATTCAAGGAAAAGTTTCACCAAAAGAACATCAACAATTCGTACGCCCTATTCAACAACAACAACAACAGCAGCAGGGTGGGCACACAAATACAGACAGTAACAAACAAAACACAAAGCCCGTAGCTATTCAGAAATGTTCTGTACCAACATTAAATGGACAACATTTATTAACAAAAAGAAAACAGATTGTAGTATTACAACAATGATAAAATGTGTGTTCAGCAGTGCCCTCGATTCGCATAAAATGCTCTTTCTCTCTCTCTATCTCTTTATTTAGTTTATTTGTATTTTTGTTTTTCAAACCACTTTCAAATTTTTCGTCAAATTTATATACAGTTCGAAAACTACATGTTTTAAATAAAGATATAAGTCGTTCATATTATTTTTAGTATCAATACGTCAACTAGTAGTCTAATTCTCAAATATATGATCATATTACTTTAGTGAATGTACTTTGGATCCAAATACTTGAAATATGTACTTCGTTTGTGTAATTAAGCCAACATTCCTTTTTCTCAGAGGATATACCGTTTACTCAATATTAAACAAATTTTTCTAGTATAGAATACAGCAAATTCATACCTCATTAATGAATGTTTGACCTGGGCACATATCAGGGTGTGATTGATATAAGCGTCTGAATTAAACAATTTTCTCATTTGTCGCTATTGTGATGATTACACATTAAAAAATTGAATATTTTTTAAGGTTTCAATTCAAATCGAATTTTTTTCATCACAATTGTAAAGTTTTTTGTGTCATTGACAATGTGTTTTGTTGTTGTTATCAGCTGAAACACAAATAAAAACAAGAGCATGGAAAACATCAGACACTTATTAACAATAGCGTATTGTTCTTCTCTATGATTAAAGTTATGGAACTATGCTGGTAATATGTCAACAGTAGACGCAAAACGAAATCGTCCATTTAGAAGGGTATTATATCGGCAAGATTCGAAAGATTCGACGATTATTCAAGATATTACACCAAGAATTGATGGTTATCTAACTGATTCAGATGCTACTTTTAAGGGACTATCAAATATAGTTCAGATGACCGATGCATCAAGAAAACTTATGTATCGAGAGGGAATAAAATACAAATCACCGCTAACACTTATAAAATACTTTTCACGTGTTAGAAACGATCCAATGTCAAAGTATTTAAAAGTATTAAATTTTCAACAACACAATGTAATGAGAAAAGCGTATAAATTCAAAGGTTATGGAAGTCAAACTGTAGCGTAAGTGTTTAAGAATTTCTAAATGTTTCTGTTCAAACTGTGATAATCAATTTTACCCAGGTCAAAAAATCAGTTCGAGATCTTACACGATCTTATAAAATCTTATAAAAATCATACAAGAACCTTACGAAATCTTATTATAAGATCTTACATCAAGAATCCGTTTCTATGTTTCTTATACGAATCTTACGAAATCAGACGGAATCGTACAAGAATCTTATAAGATCTTACAGCAAGATTCTTTGACCTGGGTATGAAAATGACGCATAATATAATCAATCCTACCTAATTCCAAAATATTTGATATATGTACTTGTTTAAATTGAAATTAAGATTCACGTCGAACTCTTGAGAACAAAGAACAGGGGGAAAACACAGACTATTGTTGAATTAGAGTTTTTCGTAGCTCTAATAAATATTGAAACATGATTTATATTCTTATCTCTATTTTCTTGAATATTTTAAACGAGATCAAACGTCTGAAACTAAATTTAAGCAGTGATATTTTTCTTAAACACAGTCAATAATAATATCAGAAGTAAATGCGCTAAGGCCTGGTGGTCTAGTGGTATGATTCTCGCTTAGGGTGCGAGAGGTCCCGGGTTCAATCCCCGGCCAGGCCCTTGATATATATCTTTTTATTTTTTGTTATCAGAACGAAAAAAAATCTATCATGATATACAGATGACTGACTGTTTTTAATCCTCTAAGGCATGTTATACTTTTATTCATCATATTTTTAAACTTTTGTTGCATGTAACCCACTGTGTGGCAATTTTTTTTAACAGACGAGTTGAGCAAAATAACAACAGCTCAATCTGATGTATACTCATTCTAACATGGCAAATTTGCGGTTGGTAAATGATTTCACACCATATCGACTTGCTATGGAGGTTTTTTGTGCTTAGAAATGAATACTAGTTTATTTTTGCTTGAAGAGAGATTGTTTAGTATTATAATCTCACTCACAATAATTACAAGCAACTTTTTGACTATTTTATTATGTTGGTGCAGAAATATATTTTTATAGTTAAACAGTTTAAAGTTCCTAAACTAACGTTCTACCAAGTTTTAATATATTCTGACCTATTGGATTAGTAATATTGTTTATTAAATTACAGTACGATGGTCGTTTATTTATCAAAAAAACATGATTTTTTAGTTCCACTCGTGTTCCAGAAAATTTGACGTAAAATTTCTTATTCAAGTATTGATTGACTTAATGAAAAGAGAATAGAACGATTCCAAAATGAAAAATCACAAATTTTTCTTTTAAGAAATAGTTGTTTTTTATATTTTCGATAATCTAAATCTTGTAAGGGCAACCACTTCTGATTCAAAAACATGATTAATAGTGCAGTTGTTTTGAATTTCATCCTATTCTTTATTTTCTCTGGATATTTCGACCTTAACTGATCATTTTTCAACATAAAAGTACTGTACAGAAAAAATAAAAAATACTTTCTATTTTCAATATAGTGAAGAAAATAAAGGATATGATGAAATTCAAAACAGCTACACTATTAATCGTATTTTTGATAATATGTTGGATGTTCATTAAAATCTTTCTAAACAGGTTTTCATCGTGTTTGTTGTTGTTCACATATCCGTCAATTATTTATTTATTGATCTTTATAGACCAAACGCGCGTTTGGATTTTTTAGTCGATTCTTTTCTTTCAAATTTTGATTCTAATTTCTTTTTCTTCCTCGTTCTTCTTTTTAAAATATGATTTTATTTGTAACAAGATATAGATGTGCGTAGATTAGAAACCAAAAGACAATGCTGTTACTCCCGTGTGTGTGTGCAATTCGAAATTTTTTAGGGAAAGAGATGTAGAAAAAAAAAAACATTTTTTACCTCATTCATAACATTTTTATTTTTTTATTTGTTCTCCTTTTCACAAAATCAAAGTAAAAACGCTCGAAGAACTTAATATTTTATTTCAACTATTTTTTTATCAACATTGCATCTTTTTTTTGATCGATGTTCAATATTTAAATAACTTAATTTTCTCTATTATTAATTAATCATTTTTAATGTTTAAAAAACTAAGATAAATATGCCTTCATCAAAAAATGTACAACGCCGAACAAAATTAGTTCCGGCTGACAATCATCCAATAGAAAATAATGAATATTATGATGAGTACGTCTATTATCCATATTATCCACAAGACACGCCAGGTGGAGGATATCAATATGTTCAAGAACAACCCAGTTATGTTATTGAATCAGATGATTATTATACAAACGCTCCACCCACACCTCCAACACCTGACACAGTCAATTATCCGACGTAAGTGAGAACAACTAAAAATAACTACAGAGATTTTCTCAAAGTCAATCTTAAATAATTGTGTTACCACTTCAATAAAGAATATTAATAATTAAGTAGCATTTAACTAGACTAGAAGGTAGTCATGCTTGTACGAAGAGCTGATTGTACTATCACTAATATCACGGAAGTTTTTCTTCTTCTTTTCTTATGCAAATCGTTCAAATTACATTAACCTATTTATTTAAAACTACAAAGTAATAAAAAAAAAACGCCATATAACTGTTCTGCGTAGTATTTACTCTTACGAGAGAAAAATATAATTGTATTTTAAAATATATGATACACTTGCTTTACATGATGTCTTATGTGATCTATAATAGTGTATTATTAGAGATTGTTGTTAACCCTATCAACCGATAAAAGTAAATTTTACTTCGGCGATAATTAAGACAATTATGTCACTTAATCAACTAGCCGCATTATGATCTTAAAAAAGCAACAAACTTTCTTTTGACAATTTGTTTAATTGGCATAGATCTTTTAATTGAAGACTAAATTAGCTAACTGTCATAATTCTCTGCAAAGTATGTGGATAAATTTTATATAAGGAAACGTTTTTCGAATGTCATGAATTATTTATTTAGCGTTTTTTTATTTTCTATTATGAGACCTTTAAAAAACACAATAATTCAATAACAATCATTCTCTATATATTTCATAGTTACGGATATGTACTTGGAGAGAAAAAGAAACTCTACGTTTGCCACATATGGTGTGCGATGGCAAAAACTAAAGAAATGAACAACAATATATATATATATATATAGTTGTACTCTGTGTAAACTTCTTCGGTATATTCTGGAATACTATGCAGGATATCAAATATTTTCCTTCTCTTGTACAAAAAGAAATATTCAAATTTCTGGAAGATTTTTGAACGAAAAAAATATTTTACCCTGCTAGTACTCAGCCGAGCTGGAAATTTTATAGTGAAATAATTTCAACTTGAACGGTTATTTATTTTAGTTTTATATTAGAATAAGAACTGGAGTGAATAAAAACGATTCAATTATTTCTATATTTTCGATACAACATGATGACGCTTCTTGGATACCGTTTATATTATGTTTGACATCGAAAAGGAAACAGTGGCTTTTGTTTACGCTTAAATAAACAATAATACTTATTAGTTGAATTAATAGTTATCTTCTGTAGAGGCACAGTTTTCAACAATGTTGATTTGTCTTAAAATGTAACCATCCCTAGTGGAAAACTTACTCAAGTCTTGCCCAGATCCTAGAATAATCTTATTAAGATCTTAGTAAGATTTAGCTTATATTTTTCTAGGATCTTAGACAAATCTTATTATAATCGTGAGACCTGAAAAATCTAAGATTTAACAAGATTTTGTTAAAATGTTAGTAAGATCTTATTAGAAATAGGTTATACTCTATCGAAGATTTTTCCACGACTCTATGGGAATCTGTTAATATCTTAACAGTAAGAACTATTACGTTTTTCAATAATCTTAATTTAGCATTAACTAACAGATTTGAATATCTAGCCTATACTATTGCGATAGAAGTTGGACACGTTTGAAGAATGAAGAGAGATTTCATGTTTTAGGGAATCCGATTCTAAACCTTAACTTGCACTGTACATTCTCTGAAAAGTTGTTGGACACTTTCGAGAGAGCAAGTACGAGAAAAGTCTAAAAGAAAAATAACAATGTAAAATTCAGTTATATTTACGTTGTTGTCTATACAAATGCATGAGAGCAAAACAAAAGGGTGAATAAAAGTAGAGTCATTAAATCTTATTCAAACCTTAATTCAGATCTTGGATTATCGAGATTGTAGAAGGTAAGGTCTTACAAGATCTTGCTAAGAAAATTTTAAGAAGTGTCTAAGATTTTTACTAGCCCATGTCGTCAATATCGGCTAACTACTACACGGTTATCGCCCAAAATGCTGGGAGGTATACGGCCACCAAAACTGAAATTATCGCACAGGCACTGCGGTGCCCTCTGGGATACCGTCGGTGTAACCAGCGGCACCGTCTGGTATTTTGTCATCATGACTACGTAGAACAGGAGTTCGAAACTAATTTACAACTTTCTTTTTTTTTATTGTTGAGTGCTTGTAAGTGCAGAAAGACTACCGATTTAGAAAAGTTGGACTCGAGTCGAAGTTCAGCCTTCGACGAGTCTCTGGAATCTGAAAGAAAAGTTGAATCTGAAAAAAAAACCAAATTTCTCGATTTTTTCCGTATTTCTTTTATACTTATAATGACTTGACCTGGGAAATTTTTGATGACTCATGACTTGACTTGAGACTTGGCATAAAAAATCAAGTCAAGTCATGCATATTTTTAAGCCGCTTATGTAATCTAATTTTAAATAATGATTTGGGAGTGTTGATGTTATAATATGTAAGAATTTATGCACAGTAACAAGACGCGCATTTTGCAATAGCATAGCAAGTCTGTGTTCTAACATCAAGGAATGGAGACTCTTTTATGTCATTTTCTACGGAAAAAAAAATTTCAAGTCATGACTTGCGACTTGACCTGACCTGAGTTGGAAAACCCGGAGAATTGACTTGGCTTGACTGGTGAAAATTTTTTATTAGTCATGACCTGACTTGACTTGTGACTTGAAAACCCGTGACTTGCTCAGCTCTGTTGCACATCAAGACGATGAATGGATAAAAATGGTTACCGTGCGGTATTGTTTTGTACCGCGGTCTAATAAATTACCATCGGTTAACCGCGCGGTATTACAACGGTATTTTGTTGAACGGACGGTATTTTAAAAAAAGCTCGACATAGGAGAAATGAATGTATTTTGTAGAGTTAATGTGATAGGAAAAGAAGAGTCATCCTACGCTGTGAGCAAATAAATATGGATTGACTTACACTGAAAAATAGTGAGTTCTCTGACTTCTGGGGAACTTGTAGAACAATGTGAATTTGAGTTCTCCATTTGTCCCAAATAGAGAACTCATTTCCAGTTCTCCAGGTTATCGAGAACTTAATTTGAGTTCTTTAGCCAGTTCTTTCTATGAGACAAATGGAGAACTTAAAGTTTTTATAGTGTAACAGATCTTAACTGACGTTTAATAGCAAATTATGATTGAAAAAAATAATAAAATCCGTGAGACGTATAAAAAGCGTCAGTTTCCAAAATGCTCCTTATTGTGTACGTATTAATAATAGTTTCTTATCATACTATTGGTAGATTTCTTTGGAAATTGTGCGTACATTTCATGGTCAAAAGTTAGATTTCTTTATACCATGGAACATGGAGAGCAACTTATCCAACATAAATAGCTTGCTAGGAGGAGTTTATCCTGTTGGAGGATATCCTATTCAGGTGAACTCTACACAATTTCAACGATGTTCATCTTTCCACATGTGTCTACAAACCATTTTCTGACTTTCACTCGTGATCACGCATGAAGATTAAAATTGAATTGAGAAATTTTTTACATGAAGATTTCTCCATCGGTAAGGACGACGTACCAGATAAACAAGACAATATAGACGTACAACGGAGGAGAATGTGTGATTCTTATCCTCCTGGTCATGATATTCTAAATAATAGTGAACTAGTTATGGTCATCAATACTCTATCAGTAACAGTCAAAGAGAAGTGTTGATTATTTTACTGTAGATAATGTCATACGTTCATATTGGCCAGCATCGGTCAGTAGAAGTCTGCAAGCAGACGTCTGAAGTAATTTGTTCGTCGAATAGGTTTCATAGCCACAACAACCATCATTGACGAGCGGGAAAAGGTAAAGAAAATTAAGTTCGAAATAATGAGCGGGAGAAAGAAAACTTGATAATAATTGTTTTTTGAGTATCAGCCAGCCATACGAATAAATATTTGAGAAACTCTCAGTTTATCAGTGTAAGACACGCGATTCCTTCTTTCTTTTTTCTATAGTTTTCACAGTACATTCAGCTCGAAATGTAATCAGCATTATCATGAAAGAATTATGATATCTTGTATGATTATCTCTAAGTATAATGGAAATCTCTGCTTCTCTTAAAGTAAGTGACTTTTACTTTAATCATAGATGTGTTAAAATTCAAGAGGCATTGATACCAACAAATAAATATGTATTTGTTTTTGTTCAATATTCTCTCGTTCATTTTAATTGCTATATGTACATAAAGAAAAAAAAGGAAACCTACAAAAGATTCTCGTAACAAAAGAGAATAGTTCTAGATTTTAGACTAGGACCAAATCAAACAGTTTAAAGTTTGATAAGTAAATAGACTTGTATACAACAAATGACCAACTTAACTAATCCAAACATAATTTCTGAATCAAGTATGAGAATCGTAAGAAAAAAAAGAAGACAATAACTTTATATACGTCGCTGATTACATCGTCCATAAAAAAGTCAAATAACGTTAATAGCATGGATCATGCTGGTAGTGCAACGAGTAGTCGTAGCAGTAATCAAAATACATATAGTCGAACAAATTTGTCAGCTTACTATCATAAAAATTTGAAGTATGACGTGGTATCATGTAGATGGACAAATTTCTATTGGTATTATATTGCTCTATCTCTTTTCCATTTAGTGTTTTCCGATCAGAACCTCCTGATGATTTAACAACACAAAAAGATCGTGTAAGAGTTATTGTTAGGTAAGCACATTTTGAAGAAATATCATTTAAATATATATGACACTTCTTATTTCTTATTGGTTTGAATAGGGTTCGTCCAATGAATACTCGTGAAGTGGACAAAGGTGATCGATCAGTACTAACATGTGACTCAGAAAATTCAATTCTGGTATGTTATTCGTTTAATATAGTTAGATAAACTACTAGCTCTATTACTACTGATAGCTGAAATTATACATATTAATCACGGAGGAGCGAGTGGAAAAAATATAGCTAGAGTACTTCTTGAAAGTTTCTGAGGAAGGTTCTCGACTACGATGTTTAAACTGGTTACTCGAGAGTGTGACTAAATTACTCGAGATTATTGATGACAACTTATTATACGAAGAATTGTACAACTTTATATCGCTCATCTACTTGTCACTTTTCGTTTTTCAGGTTGATGGTCCACAACATAGTCGTCGATTTACATTTGATGCCGTCTTTGATACTTCCTCTACTCAGTATGTATATAAACAGCTATGATGTTCTTGAAAAAAATAGCTTGATTAGGAACAATAAAATATAATTTTAGTCGTTCATAAGGGTTACCTGTTTTGCTAGAACGGTTCGTAGAAATACTTGTCAAATCTTGAATTAAATTAATTGTTAGAGCGAACAACTGTGTCAAATATTAGAATTCAGTTTACTGCACACTTTGTATCCAAATGGGTTTTATCTTGTATATTTTCATTACGACATTAAAATACCTTTTTATGATTATTTTAGAGAGGAAGTATTTCATTATAGTGGAATTAAACGACTTGTAGATATGTCAATTGATGGGTAAAACGTAGTTACTGACATAACGATATTAATACTCATCTATGAAACTTTTCTGTTTTAGATATATATGCACATGTTTTGCATATGGTCAAACAGGTTCAGGTAAAACGTTTACCATGGTGGGTCCATCAGGAGCTGGCATCGTGAGTGTGACTGAATATTATTAATTGATTCAAGATATAAATTTATATTGTATTTAGTTTCGAATGGACGAAAATTATCGTATAAAACATTTTGGTTTGGTACCAAGAGCAATCAATTATTTATTTCAAAAATTACGTGAGAAAACACATGAATCAAATGTTGTATTTTACATACGTGTATCATACTGTGAAATCTATAATGAACAGGTATATTAGTGCTTATCATTATTATTATTATTACAAAATCTAAACATGGTTTCAGATTCGTGATTTGATTAATCCATCGCACACTGAGAGTCTTCAAATTCGAGGTAAATAATGCACTTATTTTAAACGTGATAAACTGAGACTATTTTTCTTTCTTTTATAGGTTCAATCGAAGATGGATTTTATGTTGAAAATTTATTTCAAACTTATATTGAAACAATGGACGAATTACTAACAATTTTAGAAGAAGGTACATACTTTTCTTCTTAACTTAGTTCTTCCTTTTATAATGTTAATTATAAAAATTTATTCAATCTAGGCGAACTAAACAGAGTGACAGCATCTCATAATTTAAACGATCATTCAAGTCGAAGTCATGCAATGTTATCAATACAAATTGAACATGATTTACAAAATTCAGACGATCCAAAAGTACAAATAACAAAACAAGGAAAACTTATTTTTGTTGATTTAGCTGGTAAATATGACGAGTAACCACAATTTGACAATCTACCCGTGTAACTGTTTTTAGGTAGTGAAAAAGTTAAAGTTAGTCATTCGACAGGACGACAACTGGTTGAAACAAGTAATATCAACAAAAGTTTACTTACACTTGGTAAGAGCAACAAAATAATACACACTGAAAAAAGATTCAACTGTGGTGTTGTCGATGTTTAGGCACGTGCATATCAGCGTTAAGTGATCCCGTTAAACGTATGGGTCATGTCCCTTATAGAGACAGTAAATTGACACGATTGCTTTCTGATAGTCTTGGAGGACATGGAATTACATTGATGGTAAGCAAAATCCATGAATTCCTTCATCTATATCTTGTTGTTCTTTTTTTATAGATTGCTTGCATTTCGCCTGCAATATCATGTGAAAATGAAAGTTTAAGTACTTTACGTTATGCGAACCGAGCGAAAAATATTGAAAATGCACCGATAATTAAAACGGTAATTTTTCTAAAACTATTACAAACTGAATAGTACAAGCTGCTCTGTTTATTAATAGGATTCGAAGGAAAATGTTATTAATCGTTTAAAAGCCGAAGTTCGGAAATTGAAAGATGAAAATTTTACTCTACGAAAAAAATTAGGTTTGCAAGGCACTTCACGTTTACCAAGATTAAAAACGAGAAACTCGGATTCTGGTATCAACGCTTAGGCAAAACAGAACATATTGACGCAACTAACACGCATTTTTTACACACGTTCTAGGTACATCAGTTCCTTCATCAGCAAGTAGCGACATAAACGACGGTCGTCAAGATCCAAAGTCAGTTGTCAAATATTCACGCTTTCTCTCGTTCTTGAATTTACTTTACTCTTTCAACAGGCGATCACGAACGAATGGATCATTAAAATATAGAGAAAATGTTCGAACCGATCATGAAATTTTGACCAGAGAGAATGAAAAATTAACGAGAAAACTTGATCGAGTCTTACGTGGTCAACGCGGTACAGAAGTGGTTGTCGTCGAAAATGGTCGGGTAAAGGTCAAATAACATATTGGACCCAGTCTAGCAAAATTTGTAGATGTTGTCTCTTAGAAATATAAATTACTGTCATCTAGCAGTAACAGTAATATCTTCTCTCATCGAGAGTTCTAATTATTTTATTATTTCATATCTATTTTTATTTTTTCAGGGAAGTCCTCCACCAACTCGACGTATTATCAAGACATACGCTCAGCCTGATGAAGAAGTGTATGCGTTTTGTTATAAATATGCTGACGATATCTGATAATAGAATTGATAATTTGAGTTTTTTTAGATTAGAATTGGTTCGTCGTCCATCATATGCCACAAGGTTTCGTACAACGAGAGATAAATATCCGGCATTATCGCCTGTAAGAAGAACGGCAACCGTCGTTCGTCGTGTACCAGAGACATCGATAGTGGAAGGTAAGAAAGAATGAATATATGTACCTCACAGAAATAAATAACTTGAATTTGATTTTCATACTTAGTTCAACGGTAAAAATCACGTAGAGAATTAATGTGTGCATCAATCATTGCACCATCTTGGCTAACTTAAACTGGACGCTACCTTTTATATAAAAAATAAATGGTTATATGTGGACTTATCTTGACAATCTTTTTTATCGTCAGATTTTTTTCTAGTTCTGTTTCTTCTTTTTTTTTCTATAACTGTCCATTTGTAAAGAAAACAACGGTTGTCAAGTATGATTCCATCATGAATTATTCGCAACATGTCAAAATTTACTATCATTTGTATAGAACGCAATATTTAACTTTTAAAACAGAATTTGCCTCAAGTCAACAGTTTTCTTCTATGTGATATTGTATACAACAGGAATGATATACGAAAAGGCTTTTAATCGAATACGTTTACGGTAGGACTATCAGTTAGTTATTGAGTACAATAGTTTTAATATAGAGGACATGTTATTATTAAATGTTTGTCGTAGAATAAGCCCAGAAAGCCGTTGCCAAACTCAAACGACTATTGTCTCAGACTAACGCTCGTCAGAACGAAATTGCTTTAGCGTTTTCAAAATAACAAAATGTTAGATGTCTGCAGTGCTCATGAATTTCTAAAGATTTATTCTAACTTTTATAAATAGTTTTCCATAGTTTACCATTCACTTTAAATGTATTTTTAACGAGTCATTTCAAAATATTTGTCGATGTCATAAATTGCACTCAATCCGAAATTGTTTTGTAGTTGCTTTGTTACATTAGTATTTCTCTCATTCTATGTACGTGTTGACTGGTATCTAGTATTTATTTATACCAATCTTTTTTATTTTTGAAATTATCCCATTAATCTTCATATAATTTTATTGTTTTTCTGCAATATCTAGTTTACCAGCAGATATGACAGATCTATTGATATCTTGTTGTTCCTGTTGTTAGACTATTGGGTTCTTAATATATTTATCAATGTTCAGAGTGTTTATTGTCAATTAAGAATGGCTCATTTCATTCATCGCTTTCATGTGATTGATCCACCAACAAATGTAATCACTTCTCTATTAACCAATTAACACATAACCAATTTTTCACCTTTCTATTTCAGAAACGAATATAAGTTTAAAATTAACTTTCTATATGTTATCATTATTTCTAGGCATGCTTAGTCATCCAATGAATTTTCTAGTGTTGACAAGTCCAAGAAATATTTTATGTAAATTTGATCTTTGTTTGAGCAACATTTTTGCCCTATATCTTTTTGTTTCAACATGATATCTACTATGTTAGTATTTTAAGACCGCCTCGAGCTGAATATCTGATTAGTAACGATATACTTACATGTAAACAGACCATGAATATATCGATAGATAGGTAGTTAAACTATATAATTAGATACAAAACAAGAGATGGAAATATACGTTCTACTATAGATCATTATATGGCAACAGCAAAAAAAAAAAAGAAGAAAAGACGATAGGCATCATACTTATTAAAAAATAGAATAAAAAGACAAGCCGCCACACTAATTTTGACATGCCGACAAAACACAATGATAAGCTTCCCTATATATTCCATATATAAAACAAATCATTAGCACATTCGACAATCACTCATATTCCTCATTCCATTGTTTTTACAATCTAAATATAAATGATACACTTGACTATCATATACACGTTTCAAAATTACATCCACGATATGTAGATGTATATAAAAAGTTATCCAATTCTTAACTCGGAATTACAGTCGAAAATTTGAGGAATACAGTCATAGCAGTCGATGCTATTGATTCGCTGATGCAACGTTTTACAGTCTCTTTCTGTTCAATATGTGTTCGTGTATAATTAATCTTAAAAATGGACGTGTATTTTCCTCACACTTAAATACTTGAATTTCTTTTACGATTATCGGGATTTCAATGTTAACAGTTTTTAAAATGTAGTTGAAAAAGTTAAAATTGAATAACGACTAGACTGTAAATGAGTCAAGCAGAAAAGAATAAAAGTTGGCATCAGTAGCTGGAATAGATTGTATAGACATTCGTTTAGATGATTGTAAGTGGCTATTCCTATCTATTGAATCAACATGATTTCAGTCAAATGATAAAAATTCACAAAACGAATTTAATCACAATCATTGATGCTAATACTACTGTACCATGGTTTGTATAGAGGTAACAGAAATAAAATATTTATTTCAAGTTAATATACTACTTATGCGTGGTATTTTCTAAAAATCTTTTTGAACAATAATAATAGTCTATCAATAAGTGATAAGTACACTCGATTCCAGCAGGATACTTATCACTCTCATAACTATTCTGTTCTTTTCTTAACAAAGTGGTTAATAAATGATTTAGCACAAAAAGACTAGACAAGAGACTTTTGGATAAAGTTGCAAGCAACGATTCGACAATGAATGTGTCCTACCTTTATAAATGTAACATAAGAAAAGTATCTTGAAAAAATTTATTTATTTTTTTCTTTTAAAAATAATTACATTTCAATGTGCATGTGTTTTCATTCCCAACTAAACCAAAAATCATTCTTCATTTGTATATACGTAATGACATTTGACTAAAACAAATGATTGTTTGATCTTAAGTCGTTTTCGTTTGAAAATGAATAGAGTCAATGATGATAATTTCTCAATGTCCCAAATGAGATTGAATGTGGTATTGTGATCAAATTTAAATTTATTTATAAATATTTGTTCGATGATTTCGTAACATAATAAACGAATATATGTCGGCAACAAAAACAAAAAAAAAAAGCGGTTATCAACAAAAGTCTAAGAAGCTCATCTTTCTTCTTCTTCTTCTTCTTCTTCTCGATACTTAATGAAATGCCGATGTGTTCAACACGTGTGGAAGAGATATCTATTTTGTTATTTTGACATATATATCCATCGTCGAGAATGTACCTGTTCATATTTAATTTTTTTTTAAACAAAAAGTAATACTTCTCAATAGATCAAAAAACATGATCATATTTCACTTCATAGAACTAATTAAATTTCTAACTTTTGAATAAATACACGATTTTAATAAAGGTTAATATTTTTAAACATTTATCATAGTATAACTAGTTAGATTTTTTCCATAAAAGAAAACTATTATCAACTTTTGGATACTTATCGAAACATAGATACATGCTTTGTAATATATTTAAACAAGAAAACTCCAAGTGTTGCTAAAGAGATTATATTTAACAAATGTGTCTTTTAACTATGGTCTAGAGTAAAAACATTGCCTTGATAGAGTAATGTGTAAATTCTACTACTCAAGAAGATACAAATCTAAAAAATAAATCTAATTAAATATGGATAAAAGTCAGCTGTAGACAATTATCTCATGAGAAAATGTGATGATTAAAATGTAGCTAAATATATTTATTATTCGACACTTTCAATAGTTTATATCTCGCTATAATGAAGCTGAGATGTGTTACGGTCATTGGATCTTTACTAGCGTAGTTAGGAAAAAATAATGTTTCGCTTGTCTGACAGTGCCATACAGTTAAATATCAACACTATGAAAGAAATACTTATTTTAGAGAACTAGTTGTGTCTCTCAAATGTCATATATACAAATTATACTTATGTACTGAGTCTATATCATATTCGATAATCAACAAATACACAGAGGGAATAATAACAAAAATATCTATCTATAAGGAGTAAACAGTACGTCATTTCTAAGATTGACAAAATACATTGTGGAATCGGAAGAAATATGTTCTAGAAGTTTCATATATTAAAAAAAACTTTTATAAAACTTGTGAATTTTAAGAGAAAATAAAGTTAAAACAAATCAGGTTGAAGATAAAAATAGTGTACGATTTAAATTAAAGCTTTTTGAAGGAATAGATAAATTTTTATTAAAATCAGATTCGCTGAGAAATTGCGCTTTCAGATCTTAGAATTGAACGTGTTTTTAACTCCTCTCCGCAATGTTGACTTTTTTGACTGCAGACTTATAAACTTTGAAAAATGTGCATGTCAACTTGTCTGAATCGCAAATGTCACCAATGTAAAATGAAATCTCCTTACACATTTCCATCCGCTTATCTGGACTTCAGAATATATCATCCTACAGATCCTTACTTTATGATTATACTGTCCAGTAGGATTGGAATGAATTGAAATGGATTTTTTAATCTGTCCGAATCGGTAGGTACTTAGTCGGTAAAAGAATTTGAATGAAACAGTGAAAAACCGGCTAGTTTCTCTTATAATCGATCACCTTCTGTTTATGAAAACTACATATCAAAGATGATGTCGGAAGAAAGTCATAACACTGATTGATCACATGATTGTGAAACCCTACTCTATCCTACTATGCATAGAACTTCGATAGTTTGTACATATGCTTTGCCAGTTTAATCGAAAAAATTTGAAATCTTGTGTTTTTAGATTTTAGCGACAGACTCAAGAATAAGCACCAATACTCGGCTTGAGAAAATCACGGCTTTGAGCAAAGTTGTACATATTCTATACGAAAGGAAAAAAAACAATGTCTTTATTGACACAAAACAAGAGTTTATAGTGTAAGAAAATAGTTAAATATTTAAAAAGTTAAATAGTTAAATAATTAAAATAAATAGTTGTTGAACAATAAAATATGATTACTATTCTGTAAACCAATGAGATATTATTCTTTTTTTTTTAATCATCTCTGGTATAATCTTCTCTCGTATTCTCTATACGAAAAACTAGAAAGTATTTTCTTTCTTAAAACCGGCAAAAATCGGCCGCTTTTCCTGATAAACCAGTACCAACTCCATCTCTGAAATCGCTATAGCATGGTAATGACATATCGAATAAAAAAACGGGCATTTTTTCCGGATTAAGCTGTTAAAACTCAGTAAAAAAGAGTTCCATACGAAGCCTAAAAGCGTTTAGAAATGAGAACACTTCTGTTCGCATAAAATCTATTTTTTTAGAGCATAGACTACTGATTGTTGACAGGAAGAGGATTTTTCCTCAAGCCTCAACATAAGTACATGAATCTCAAGTTCGCTTTGCATAATCAATCGTGGGAGGTATAGAGTAAGAAATCAATCACAAATTGCACAATAATAACTTTTTGATCAGATAAATAATATTCTGACTTTTAAAGTAATATACATCATGGATAGATAAGATTTTGATTTTTCTCGAATCAATAGGAAAAAGGAAAAACGTATTTTTTGGAAGTTACACTGTCTTAAACTGATCAGTTGAAAAGTTCGATGAAACCGATCAATTCTAACTTTGCTCTATAGTATCCTGAACTTTTGCCTGTTGGACACTTTTTTCCTTTTTTTTGGTGTTAGTATTTAGTCTGTATTGTATTTATTCTTTATGTAAGTGTTATTATTTATGGATACTAAAACAGCGAGACTCACTTAGATGCATATGAAGTACTTACTTTTACATACATTTTTTATTTTTCTTCCTCTTTATTGTACGAATGAAAAAATAATCGTTATCCAATCAATCTAGACGTTGGTTGGTTATGTATAAAAATGAAGAGAAAAGAAATGAATAGAGAACAGAACAGAACAATAAATATTAAAGGATTGGAAGATTCCCTTTTTTTATATCCGTTATCATTTCTTACTTCATGAAAATTCACCAATCATCTTTGTTGTCTATTTTCTCTTTTCATTTCTCTTTAATCTCTTGATTGAATAAAACTCTCACGCAAGCATTCATGCAAATAAAAATTACTTGAGTGATTTCAATCGAATTAAACATAACGAATTTTACTGTTTTTACGTCATAACGTGTATCTCTTTTTATTTTGTGTTCTTTCTGTCTTTTCTCCATCAATCCAACAATCGAATGATAAGCGTTTTCGAATAAACGTTTTATGTATGTAATTCTATCAAGACCGACGATTTAGTAGAAGAAGAAGAAAAAAAAAATAATAAAATGAATGAAGATAGAATAAAGATAGAGAGATAGATTGATAGATAGAAATGTATATAACTGAAAGCGCACAAAAACTACAATTCGACTGAAACCGACCGAAACGGAAAACCGAACCGTGAATTAATCGAACCATAGAAACCATTGTCGAGCGTATCGAAGTGGATCAATCCTAAATACTATATTTTATCGTAGATTTCAAATGGGTATGTAAATTGTCTATGAGAATATAGAGAAAGAGGAGGAGGAAAAAGTATACACACTACAAATCGAGATAGTATTAAAATCATTTTATACTTTTTTTTAAGTTTTCAATTTTTTATTTTTATTTTTTTTAATTCTAACGTTTGTTCTTGACATGGTCTCTCATATTTATTTAATTAAGAGAAAACGATTTTAATATAAAACATGTTAAAATTTTAGTTGATAACATTGAGTAAGTACTTCACTAGTTTCTGTTCTACATTTGACAGAATAGAATAGTTTGACGTTGTCTTGTCGCGCTTTTTATATGTACTATATTCCATAAAAAATGGTGTAGAGAAGAAACATAAAAGATTTGAAAAAGTCTTTTGTAAGATAAGTGACGGTTTTATCGCGATGCTGACTCTGTTTTTATTATAACTTTTAAGAGAGTAGATAATGTAGCGTTGCCTTATTCGCTCAGTTTCTTAACTTTAGCATCAATCGTACGCTGCAAAAACAAAAGCAATCACATGTCCCTCGGGCAATGTATGAGAAATCATTTTAAAATAGCACACAGTGGCGTACGTTTTTCGGTAAAACGTTTTTTTGTGCTTAAAATATCCTTTTTAGCGAAACGTCTACGATCATGTTTATTTCTCATGGACCAGAAATAATTCCATAACAGATGATAGCTCTGAATTGAGTATTGGATAAAAGATGCTTGTTTTTTTAAGTTTAAGACTAAAGATGTGTCTACAAAAAATATTCTAGTATAATATTGCAACAATTATGTTATCAAACTATACATTTTATTTGTTTATTTTTAAATTTCATTGTAAACATCTGACTCTAGTTTAAAAAACATGCATATCGAGTCTAAATTCGATATCTATTTTTCTCACTATAAAAAATAGTAAGTGTCAATTAATCGAGCGTATATATCCGCTGCCATTTATCTTCCGTTGAAATTATTTACATTATAACTATAGATCTATACATAATTCACCTGTTACATTCAAGCATCCATCAATAATAAGATAAATCATGATATATGTGTACGGAAATAAAGGCATTATTTGAGGAAGCAATTATACTGTGCGACAAAAATTAATCACTGGTTATAACAACAACCAATAAAAAGTAATTCTTCAACATCACAAACATTACAAATTTCGTACTTGAATATTTTGAAAGAAATCATCGACTATCTGCAATCATTTGAGCTTTAATATTGTTCGTTCTTTTTTTGCGTTTTTTAAAATTAAATATATTATCAGTGTATATAATAGAAAAAATGTCATCATTATTCATTTTCGCAAATGGTTCTGTTAAATGATGATGCTGATAAAAGATCATCATCATCATATTCATGAACAAGTGTGAGAAAAACATTTAAAAAAGTAATGATTTCCCAACTGTGCGATAGTAGATCATATAACATATCAATTCGTGCTTTGATAAAGTGCATGTTTGGTGCCATTAAATAAATATCAAGCAGAGAAAATATTTATTGTAGAGTTAAGTCACATTCACAAAATGAAACTGATAAAATGTTTTATAAGAATCAATAAGCGATACATGTGATTAGCGAAATACTTTTCCGTTCCAATTGTACATTTCTATTTAACATGTTTTATAAGTTTTAAGATCTCTCGTTGATAGAATATCTAACGTTTTTCAATTAAAACTTTCGGACCATGGCTATAGTGAATGATATTTTTGCCTAATTTTAGCATCCGATTTTTTAAATGATGCCGGATCAAATCAAAGTTATGGCGAAGTTAATCAGTTGGGTGGTGTATTTGTCAATGGAAGACCACTACCAACACCTATACGTTTACGAATTGTTGAAATGGCCAATTTAGGCGTCCGTCCATGTGATATCAGTCGTCAATTACGCGTTAGTCATGGATGTGTCTCTAAAATTCTAGCACGATATCATGAAACAGGTACAATTTCATAGTAATAAGATTTTTTTATATATTTTTTCACAATTTTCCATTTAGGATCGGTACTACCGGGTGCTATTGGCGGCAGTAAACCTCGTGTAACAACACCAAGAGTGGTGGCAAAAATTCGAGATTACAAAGTAAAAGATCCTGGCATGTTTGCTTGGGAAATTCGAGAAAAACTCTTATTAGACAATGTGTGTGACAAATTTAACGTCCCGTCTGTCTCGTCAATATCGCGAATATTAAGAAATAAAATTGGACCATTGTCACAACCAGCCGAACTTAATACGTCCGATTCCTCTAGTCCAAATGCTTACATGTCACCGTGTAAACCAATTTCACCACACAATAGCAATAATGGTGGAGGAACGGGAGCGAGTTGTCTAAAAATCGAACCTGTCCCAACGTCATGGACATCATATGATGCCGCACAGGCTCGTTATTTATATCCTATATGTAACTTGAGTGCAACACCATCAGCATCAGCTATGTGCTCATACACGCCATTTCAACAATTTGGCTCATTGGAGGCAGCTGTGAAAGGACAAGCAGCTGCAGCTGCCTTCGGGAGTACATCAAATTATGGTTCTGATTCTGTCAGTAGCGCTTTCTCACAACATCAGAATTCACCCTACTCATTTTTTGGCTTTCATTCGTATCAGAATCATCATAATCCTGTTAACCATTATTCGCAATATTATATGCCAGTGACACAACAAGCATCGTGATTATTTCTCTTATTTTTTATCTAAGGACAAAAAAATACCGTGTGCGTGTGTGTGTGTGTGTGTTTCATAACAGGTACAGACTGACTTTTTATATTAGATTGAAACCTTAAATGCTAAACGAGAATGTAATAGCTGCGAGACTGCAGGAACGAAGTTACCGCCACTCTCGTGTTCCATGCCCGATAAGATATTTTTCTAAAATTTAGTACTGATCTCCTCTCGCAGGCCTGAGCAATTATCAACTACTCAAAGTTTTAGACGAAAATTTTAGGACTGGAGAAACAAAAGAAATACTTTTTTCCTGTACATATTCAAATATTTCCCTTCTCTCCTTCCAAGCCTGGTTCTTATACAGTCTTTTCTATATTAAACTGCGATTTTTTAAGTTTACATTTTTTTTTTGCTTTTCTACGACAAATATTAGACACTGTTTGTTCTCGTTTCCTTTTTTGCTATTCGCTTGAATTTATTTTGATAAGGGTCATTTGAAATGTCGCAAAATCATCGTTTTTACGTTAATCGTTTTTTTCTCTCGGTTATTCGACCATTTTTTCTCTCTTGTCATTGTATTTTGTTCTTTTGCACGTTTTACTTTTTGTTAGTAGCTTTTTAATGTTTTTTCCATTGAAAATTCATATAACAATTTTATATGCAAAATAGTGTTCAAATGAAAAAAATTTTGTCAGCCTAGATCCTTAGGGTCTAAACTTGAAGTCATTTATTTCCTATAAACTTTTATTTCTCTTTTAAAGTGAAATTTCGACAAAAAGTAGAGTCACCATTTGAGAACTATTTGTTTTGTATTCATCTGTCAATGATCTGGCTATCATCCTTTATAATGCACGCGTTTTCTAACCAATAAGCAGAACGCATACCTTTGACCTCCAAATCCAAACGTATACTAATCTAAAGAACAACATTTATCACACATTGTAACTACTGTCTGTGTAATCAATCATTCATCTTTCATTTGTTACGAAAACCTGAGTTAGAACACGTGCAGAGAGCTATGTACGGTTAATTAAGAAAATGATATTTCAGGTGCTACAGAAAAAGAGAATATAACTACCGTTTCTCACTCTATGAACGATTGTCCAAAAATAAAACACAGAAAAATTTAAACATTTGGGAGCCGTCAAATATAAAATCTGTTTCATATAGACTCACATATACACAAATTAATTCTGAAAGGTGTACAAGGGTTTATGTTCAGTTTAATGAATGACTTTTATCAGAATTTACAGAGCTTACTATATGTTCTTTGAAGATCAAAAAGTATGGTCTCTGTCAGATAGACTGATCTCGATTGAATAGACATTTTTTTTCCAAACTTTTGTTCAAAAAACATTAGAAACTAAACATTAAATCATAAAATATTAAAAGTCAGAGTCAGCACCTACGTCTAAATCTCATGTTAGCGTTTGTTACTACTCGCAGGAATTGTTAGCGTTACAATAATTGAATATATACTGATTTTTTTTTCGAAAAGTTCAATTTCTCCATTTGGCCAGCGTATCTTAAGGTTACGTACAAAGAAGAGATATTTCTCCTCTAGTTTTATTTAAATTAAATTAAAAATTGTACGTTTATCTAATTAACGTGTTAAAGAAGTGAATGAATATGCAAAACAATCTTTTTGTTTTAGTAAGATAAGATCATTAATTGAGTTTTTTTTCGTTCTACCGACACCACTATTGAAAAAAAAATCACATCAAAATTGACCCGATAATAAATAGATACAGAGTTGTTTTGATAGACAGTAGTCAGGTTTTTGTATTTTATTGTGCGTCTATCTAACTAACAAAAAGTTATTACTTTAAGCAATTTTTTGATATTGAATATCGTTAACTTAACCTTATCTCTTTCGACTATATACATACATACCTATTGGTATGAAAAAGCCCATCATATTACTTCCATCCATCAATATATATGTGATCGGTACGAAACAGGTGATTTACACTTCAATTTTTCAAAGAAGAAATATTCAAATGTTTTCACTACTCAACACCTATTTAACAAAACTCATTAATAACATCAGAACTTTTAAAAAATTATTGTTGTTCATATATACATGTCGTATTGTAAACGTGCTTTATTATTATTACTAAAGAAGAAGATATATACATGATATAAATGAGCAATATTTTTCACATGATAAATAAAATTGAAATTGATCTCTTAGTGATCATATATTCTTGATAGATAGTATACTCCGGCTAAGAAGAACCAAACAAGGCAGCATCACACAGTTGAAAGGTTAACTAAATCTAAGTCTTCTGAATAAGAGCGTTTGTAGTGTTCACAAACAGTGTTTGAATATCATCAATCTATTTATTTCTTCAACATAATGAAAATATTTGATTTCACGTTTGTATTGATAAAAAACAAGTAACCTTATGAAACATACATTTGAATCTTGATTCATTCATATATCTTTGACACAGTTCGTTCGAGTTTTATGAGGTTCTTTCTCGCTTTTTTTTTAAGTATCTAAAAAAAAATGATATATACAGATGGAAAAGGTCATTATTCTCATTTTCAGTCTCATTTAGGCGTGTTAAAAGCAACATTAACTCTCAATATAGATGCATGCTATTGCGTATTACGAAACTTTAAAACAAAACATATTTAGTTTGCCGTTTTATGATGTCTTTTTTGCAATAATGACAACAACAACATGCAAAGACAGAAAAAGTTGGCATTTGTTATTAATGAAACTGGTGCTGTTATCGAAAATTAAAGAGATGATTAACTCATATACAGTTACCGTTATGAAGTTTCTTAAAAATCAATGAATGTTTAAACTCAACTTGAACTATCCAACCAAACTATACAGAAAAAATCTTATTTCAGTTTCAAAGTGTAACTATCTAATTAAGACTATATTCTTCTTTTAAGAAAAAGAAATTATGATGTGCTGGTTTCACCGAACCCAAAAAAAGTATATACATTCTCTACTACTAATTTGGCTCATATTCGAGGAATCAGTATATCTCTGCTTAGGTTTGGAATCTTTTAGGTTGAAGTACATACATGTAACTAAAGAAAGAGAAGTTGTAGAACAAGTAATCGCTCACAGGAGCGCCCATCCTGTCATACTGTTGCGGCAATCGTCTCAAATTAATATTTTCAAGGATATATTTTTAAGTTTTAAACAATTCTGAGTAGAAAAAAAATAGATTTGACATGAAAAATCGGAACTTCCAGCTGAAACGAGACAAGAAAGACGGTAACTGCACAAGAGAGTGGATTGTTCTTCATCACTTGTTTTATACGACTTTAGAAGAAAGGTATTTTGCGTTTTACGAAAGGAAGATTTATCCGATATCAATAGTTTCATCGAGCAACTTAAAATGCTGTTCACCTTTTTTTGTAACATGAATAGAAAACTACAAGCTACTACTCTGAAATCAAATGGAAAGTACACGTATAGTGAAAAACTACCACAGAATAGACAAATAACGATCCGATCCTGAAGCGGCTACGAAACTTGCACGCGATTCGGTCTTTATCAGAATAGCTTTTTAAAGCATAACTAAATGCTCTTTGTTTTTCGTTTATCGATTAGCTAAAGGTTTATTGAACATTTGATTAATGTCCGATGGATACCACTGAAATTAAATAGCTTTTTTGCACTGTACGATAGAGATGGGCCCTCAAAAAGAACAACAAATATTTCTCAGGCTGACTGGATCCTGTTACAACAAATGTATGATCCAGTAGTAGAAAACCACACCACACGGAGCCCCTAATACATATCAGTTATAAAACCGCATATGGGATTAGGAAAATTGAATAGAGCATCAATGAATATTACCAGAGCTGGTGATATTCATCAACACTTTTCAACGGACGCTTAATAATCAATCAAATTTTAAAACTTTCTCTTTGGTTAAATCATTTTGTATAAAATATATTGCATACAAATAGAAAACGTAAATTAACAAGATTTCTAATACCAGGCGTATCTTCATTTTCAATCAATGAAGACAAATTTTCCCATAGGCTTCGGATAGATATCGCTAACTAACGCATTATAAATAAAAAGATTTATCTGTTGTAATTTTAAAAGAGTAGACACTTTCGACGTACTGAACTCCGTAACAAACCGGACGAAAATGAGGATGAGATCGTTCTCTGTGTTAGTGATAGAGGGCACAAATGATCGTTAGGCTAAATTTTGCTTTTGTTGTATTCCTAATTCGCCAAGTTTGAATATATTTAATTTATTCGCGTGTATTGATTCCTGTGAATTTTTCCAAGGGGGAAACAGCTGATCTTTGACTTTTTCCGATTTTCGTCGATTTTTACTGATTTTCCCCAAATGAAAAGCCACCGGAAATGACCGGAAGTCATTAGAAATAACAGAGAAATAAAGCTTTCTGGAGCTGTTTTTTAATAAAGTCGTTGTTTCCTCTTTTATTCGTGTCCTGATATCCTTTGTAAAAGCGTGTATCTGAATTATCAATGTTTAATAGCTGATGTTTTGCGTACTAACCAACTTCTTGTGCAGTCGTCTAAGGAAACTTGTACAATTGATTTGGTGACATACGAGAACGTTCAATAAGGTCAAAAAACGTTCATCAGTTTCATAGTCGTCAATTCATATTCGTTTACTTTGGTATGTAAAAATCTTTTTTCAAATGATACTATAATGTTAGAAAGGAAAGGAAGAATACCCTGCCTTAGAGCTTCCGTCGTTAGTGTAGGCTGTTGGCAACTCAAACTCGTGAATTTCGAGTAGTCTGTTATCTTCTTTGCAGCGAACAATTTTCGGAGATGATCATTCATCACTTTTCTACTATTACTATCAATTACTACCAGTTCCTGCTAGGAGGCTAACCTGATGCAAAGTTCTTTCGTCCAATTACTTGAGCTCCTCGTGCACACTTAATAGTTACGCACTAGATTTCTAGCAAATTAGAGAAAATGAAATTGTACGTCACAACGTAGAAGTATGCTGTTGGATTGATGATTCAAGGCACATAAAAGTAATT